GCGGAGAGAAGGGGGACTCGTAAGGGCAGGCGGAGAGATGGAGGGACTCGTAAGGGCAGGTGGAGAGAAGGGGGGACTCGTAAGGGCAGGCGAAGAGATGGAGGGACTCGTAAGGGCAGGCGGAGAGATGGAGGGACTCGTAAGGGTGGGCAGAGAGATGGGGGGACTCGTAAGGGTGGGCAGAGAGAAGGGGGGACTCGTAAGGGCAGGCGGAGAGATGGGGGGACTCGGAAGGGCAGGCGGAGAGATGGGGGGACTCGTAAGGGCAGGCGGAGAGATGGGGGGACTCGTAAGGGCAGGCGGAGAGATGGGGGGACTCGTAAGGGCAGGCGGAGAGATGGGGGGACTCGTAAGGGCGGGCGGAGCGATGGGGGGACTCGTAAGGGTGGGCAGAGAGATGGGGGGACTCGTAAGGGCAGGTGGAGAGAAGGGGGGACTCGTAAGGGCTGGCGGAGAGATGGGGGGACTCGTAAGGGCAGGCGGAGCGATGGGGGGACTCGTAAGGGTGGGCAGAGAGATGGAGGGACTCGTAAGGGCAGGCGGAGCGATGGGGGGTCTCGTAAGGGTGGGCAGAGAGATGGAGGGACTCGTAAGGGTGGGCAGAGAGATGGGGGGACTCGTAAGGGCAGGCGGAGAGATGGAGGGACTCGTAAGGGTGGGCAGAGAGATGGGGGGACTCGTAAGGGCAGGCGGAGAGATGGAGGGACTCGTAAGGGTGGGCAGAGAGATGGGGGGACTCGTAAGGGCAGGCGGAGCGATGGGGGGACTCGTAAGGGTGGGCAGAGAGATGGAGGGACTCGTAAGGGCAGGCGGAGCGATGGGGGTCTCGTAAGGGTGGGCAGAGAGATGGAGGGACTCGTAAGGGTGGCGGAGAGATGGAGGTACTCGTAAGGGTGGGCAGAGAGATGGGGGGACTCGTAAGGGCAGGCGGAGAGATGGAGGTACTCGTAAGGGTGGGCAGAGAGATGGGGGGACTCGTAAGGGCAGGCGGAGCGATGGAGGGTCTCGTAAGGGCAGGCGGAGAGATGGAGGGACTCGTAAGGGTGGGCGGAGAGATGGAGGGACTCGTAAGGGTGGGCAGAGAGATGGGGGGACTCGTAAGGGCAGGCGGAGAGATGGAGGGACTCGTAAGGGTGGGCAGAGAGATGGGGGGACTCGTAAGGGCAGGTGGAGAGATGGAGGGACTCGTAAGAGTGGGCAGAGAGATGGGGGGACTCGTAAGGGCAGGCGGAGCGATGGGGGGACTCGTAAGGGCAGGCGGAGCGATGGGGGGACTCGTAAGGGCAGGTGGAGAGATGGGGGGACTCGTAAGGGTGGGCGGAGAGATGGAGGGACTCGTAAGGGCAGGCGGAGAGATGGAGGGACTCGTAAGGGTGGGCGGAGAGATGGAGGGACTCGTAAGGGTGGGCAGAGAGATGGGGGGACTCGTAAGGGCAGGCGGAGAGATGGAGGGACTCGTAAGGGTGGGCGGAGAGATGGAGGGACTCGTAAGGGTGGGCGGAGAGATGGAGGGACTCGTAAGGGTGGGCGGAGAGATGGGGGGACTCGTAAGGGCAGGCGGAGAGATGGAGGGACTCGTAAGGGCAGGCGGAGCGATGGAGGGTCTCGTAAGGGCAGGCGGAGAGATGGAGGGACTCGTAAGGGCGGGCGGAGAGATGGAGGGACTCGTAAGGGTGGGCAGAGAGATGGGGGGACTCGTAAGGGCAGGCGGAGAGATGGAGGGACTCGTAAGGGTGGGCAGAGAGATGGGGGGACTCGTAAGGGCAGGCGGAGAGATGGGGGACTCGTAAGGGCAGGCGGAGCGATGGGGGGACTCGTAAGGGCAGGCGGAGCGATGGGGGGACTCGTAAGGGCAGGTGGAGAGATGGGGGACTCGTAAGGGTGGGCAGAGAGATGGGGGGACTCGTAAGGGCAGGCGGAGAGATGGAGGGACTCGTAAGGGTGGGCAGAGAGATGGGGGGACTCGGAAGGGCAGGTGGAGAGAAGGGGGGACTCGTAAGGGTGGGCAGAGAGAAGGGGGGACTCGTAAGGGCAGGCGGAGCGATGGGGGACTCGTAAGGGCAGGCGGAGAGATGGAGGGACTCGTAAGGGCAGGCGGAGAGATGGAGGGACTCGTAAGGGCAGGCGGAGAGATGGAGGGACTCACAAGGGCAGGCGGAGAGATGGAGGGACTCGTAAGGGCAGGCGGAGAGATGGAGGGACTCGTAAGGGCAGGCGGAGAGAAGGGGGGACTCGTAAGGGCAGGCGGAGCGATGGGGGGACTCGTAAGGGCAGGCGGAGAGATGGAGGGACTCGTAAGGGCAGGCGGAGAGATGGAGGGACTCGTAAGGGCAGGCGGAGAGATGGAGGGACTCGCAAGGGCAGGCGGAGAGATGGAGGGACTCGTAAGGGTGGGCAGAGAGATGGGGGGACTCGTAAGGGCAGGCGGAGAGATGGAGGGACTCGTAAGGGTGGGCAGAGAGATGGGGGGACTCGTAAGGGTGGGCAGAGAGATGGGGGGACTCGTAAGGGCAGGCGGAGCGATGGGGGACTCGTAAGGGTGGGCAGAGAGATGGAGGGACTCGTAAGGGCAGGCGGAGAGATGGGGGACTCGCAAGGGCAGGCGGAGAGATGGAGGGACTCGTAAGGGTGGGCAGAGAGATGGGGGGACTCGTAAGGGCAGGCGGAGAGATGGGGGGACTCGTAAGGGTGGGCAGAGAGATGGGGGGACTCGTAAGGGTGGGCAGAGAGATGGGGGGACTCGTAAGGGCAGGCGGAGCGATGGGGGGACTCGTAAGGGTGGGCAGAGAGATGGAGGGACTCGTAAGGGCAGGTGGAGAGAAGGGGGGACTCGTAAGGGCAGGCGGAGAGATGGGGGACTCGTAAGGGTGGGCAGAGAGATGGAGGGACTCGTAAGGGCAGGTGGAGAGAAGGGGGGACTCGTAAGGGCAGGCGGAGAGATGGGGGGACTCGTAAGGGTGGGCAGAGAGATGGGGGACTCGTAAGGGTGGGCAGAGAGATGGGGGGACTCGTAAGGGTGGGCAGAGAGAAGGGGGGAGTCGTAAGGGCAGGCGGAGCGATGGGGGGACTCGTAAGGGCAGGCGGAGAGATGGAGGGACTCGTAAGGGCAGGCGGAGAGATGGAGGGACTCGCAAGGGCAGGCGGAGAGATGGAGGGACTCGTAAGGGCAGGCGGAGAGATGGAGGGACTCGTAAGGGCAGGCGGAGAGATGGAGGGACTCGTAAGGGCAGGCGGAGAGATGGAGGGACTCGTAAGGGCAGGCGGAGAGATGGAGGGACTCGTAAGGGCAGGAGGAGAGATGGAGGGACTCGTAAGGGCAGGCGGAGAGATGGAGGGACTCGTAAGGGCAGGTGGAGAGATGGAGGGACTCGTAAGGGCGGGCGGAGAGATGGAGGGTCTCTTAAGGGCGGCGGAGAGATGGAGGGACTCGCAAGGGCAGGCGGAGTGATGGAGGGACTCGTAAGGGCAGGCGGAGAGATGGAGGGACTCGTAAGGGCAGGAGGAGAGATGGAGGGACTCGTAAGGGCAGGCGGAGAGATGGAGGGACTCGTAAGGGCAGGCGGAGAGATGGAGGGACTCGTAAGGGCAGGAGGAGAGATGGAGGGACTCGTAAGGGCAGGCGGAGAGATGGAGGGACTCGTAAGGGCAGGTGGAGAGATGGAGGGTCTCGTAAGGGCGGGCGGAGAGATGGAGGGACTCGCAAGGGCAGGCGGAGCGATGGAGGGACTCGTAAGGGCAGGCGGAGAGATGGAGGGACTCGTAAGGGCAGGCGGAGAGATGGGGGACTCGTAAGGGCAGGCGGAGCGATGGAGGGACTCGTAAGGGCAGGTGGAGAGATGGAGGGACTCGCAAGGGCAGGCGGAGAGATGGAGGGACTCGTAAGGGCAGGCGGAGCGATGGAGGGACTCGTAAGGGCAGGTGGAGAGAAGGGGGGGTCTCGTAAGGGCAGGCGGAGCGATGGAGGGACTCGTAAGGGCAGGTGGAGAGAAGGGGGGGTCTCGTAAGGGCAGGCGGAGCGATGGAGGGACTCGTAAGGGCAGGCGGAGCGATGGAGGGACTCGTAAGGGCAGGTGGAGAGAAGGGGGGGTCTCGTAAGGGCAGGCGGAGCGATGGAGGGACTCGTAAGGGCAGGTGGAGAGAAGGGGGGGTCTCGTAAGGGCAGGCGGAGCGATGGAGGGACTCGTAAGGGCAGGCGGAGCGATGGAGGGACTCGTAAGGGCAGGTGGAGAGAAGGGGGGGTCTCGTAAGGGCAGGCGGAACGATGGAGGGACTCGTAAGGGCAGGTGGAGAGAAGGGGGGGTCTCGTAAGGGCAGGCGGAGCGATGGAGGGACTCGTAAGGGCAGGCGGAGAGATGGAGGGACTCATCCATGGCACCACTTCCAGGATTCAGCTCTGGGCTCCTCATCCTCAGTGCTCACACCAGTCTGCAGACATTTCAGATCCTACAAAAATGCTCACAAACATTACACAAAAGCAGTCATTTTAACAGCACAATGTCATTTGATCTATGTATTAAAAATAGCCTTACTTTATATTTTAGTAAAATCCCTAAAACCCTTTTTCCCCAACAAATGCTGCCATCATTTTTCCTTGCAGGTCCTGCTCCACCACAAAAGCTCTGCAGCAAATGCAGAAATCAAGACTCAGAAAAGTGTTGTCATTTCTCAGTTTGAAATTACAATCATTCAAATAAACTACAACTTAACATTTAATAGATTTTGATATCCATTTCTGTAGTATACTCACTCAAAGCCTTTGATGACAGCATTCAGCATCATGAGCGTCTCCACGGGATAAACACACGCGTGTTCTTCTGTCCCTGTAACATACAGACAGATTCACATTACGAGCTCAACACTGCATTTACATGCTGAGGTTGATGTGTTAACTCACTTTTAATCCAACTTAAATGTTCCTCAATATATCAACACCAATAAGGGACAAATTAAATATATATCATGTTTAGTTACTTTATAGATGTGTTTATTTACAGCACATATTTGTCTAATGTAAGCAGTGTTGACAACAGTGAATTATCCTACATAATAGCACACACATGTATTTTTCATGTTGGGATCTGTGCTCACCTGCAATACTTATACAATATTTTCCTTCCTGATGTAAATAGACATTTTAAATAAGCGTGTTTAAGATGTATGGTTATGTAAATCCACTTTAGAAACGTAACTTTACGGTTACTGGAGCTCCCCTGTTAGCCATACAGAATAAAACGTGTTTACAGCAAAATCACAACTATATTATACTGTCTAACTCCTTTAGACCTTCAACAGTTAAAACGTTTACTCTAAAGAAGTTTGACACATCCGATTTAAACACAAGGAACCGTGCTCACATTTGAAAACCCCCCTCGCATCGCTGATCTCCTCGATATTGATAATGACGTATCCTCTCGCGTGGCCTCCTGGGATAGATGAGTATCATGAGTACCCGTGGAAAAGCACTCAAAAATCTGTGCGGAAGCAGTAAGCCATCCGGGAACTTCTCACCTACTCTTTTATGAATAGTGATGTTTCGAACGTACTGCTTCTTTCACGCACTGTTTTCGCCTACTATATAGTAAGAAAGTAGGCATATTCGAACACACTTTAGGAATGCGTACGTCCGAATTTCGCGATAATTAGTACCCAGGTAATTCTCGCCTACTCTTTTGGATTCATTCATTCTTTTTCCCATGCTAAATAGTAGGGAAGTATGCGGTTTGGAACGCAGCCCCAATGTGATGATATCTATGGGAAAGAGTCTGTATGTGATGTGATTTATCTGACCTCAGTGGCGCGAGGCCGCTGGCAGACGGTTGGTTTAGCCAGTCTGTCTGCTTCCTGACCTGAGCCCCAGATTGTCATGTTTGAGCACTAATAATAAAAGCCATATTACTAGAGAGAAGAGCTATCTCTTTTCAACAGGTCAGGCTTGCCCCAACAACTATTCCAATTGTCTATGAATTTGATATTATTAGTGGTCTATATAAAACAATAGCCACTATTATTATTACTACTTTTTTTGTCTTTTGCTTCTAGAGCAATATTTATTTTGTGTAACTCTTCTCTACTGCTGTGAAGACATCTCAAATTATGCACAGTAAATTATGCACAGTAAATCATCGACAGTAATGGCTGCCTATAGCAACACCAAAGCAATGCAGATGAACACCTTAGCAACTACTGTACATATTCTGTCCATGTCTTGAGAGACATAATGACATTAAATGAATTACCCACTACTACTGACAACATGTGTAAGAAAAACACAAACTACCAGACATGGACTATCCACAACTGCTGCAATACTGTCTCTCAGCAGGCATTGATCAGTCAAATAATAAATATCATATACGTTTGATTCAGATTATGCCTTTATGGGTATGAAGTAGAAGGTTTAATAACTTAAGATCAGCGTGTTTGTCATAACTCATGTTGTTACAGCAGTGGCAAGGATGAGGTGAGGATCTAAAAGCAACAGAAGTTCATTGAAGAAAAACATAAAGACAATCTAAGCAGGGAGTGAGAACACAATCTGAGCAGGAACACGATTGCAAACACCAAAGGCAATGACTGACTAAAACACAGGGTTATACACACATCAGGTAAACTAACATGAAGATAAAGAAAACAAGACACGCTTGAGGGAACAGTTGGCTGCTTCTCAAATCCAAGAGAGCGAAAGAGTCACTCGAGGACACCGAACGAGAACCGAGATGTGCGGTGATCCTCAACTCATCTTATGAAGAGCAGTTATCAACCAAAGCACAATAAATACAACATAACATCACAAACTAACATCACAACCTATTGAACATTTATTTCATATGATTTGATGCGGTGTATTGATGATATACGTAGATTATGCATGACATATGCTTCGTCAATGTTAAGATTCTTTTTAATATGCTCATAAAAATACTGCAGTCTTTCTTCAGGTCATCACTTTAGCCTATTAAAATTAAGAAAAACAGACACATATTTACTTTCATGAGCCGTCACGTAAATACTTAAAGCTCACAGGTTTCCGTACGTGGGCCGCCTGCAGTGTCTTCTGGGATTTTTAACGGTTCGATTCTGTCAAGTCTGCATTCAACGCATCCTTGATCGTCAAGAACTCATCCGGGTTCTTTCATGCGTCCTCTGTATTTCCGTTCTTCAGTATTGGATTTGAACTTCGATAATGTAGTACCAGAACACGAGGACACAAGATCGCTGAAGTACACGCACTGAAAAGCAGCCATTAAGAACTAATCAGGGTTGCAATGGTAACAAACAACGGATAGAGGAACTAAACACAAGAGTAACTCCAACCTTAAAGTCCTTCAGACAGGAATCATGACACATGTGTTGTGTGTTTTATTTCAGAGTCAGTTCAGAGGAGAAGATGGAATGATTTGAGAGTGATACACCTGCTGAACACAATCACACACAAGAATGCACATTAAATATACCATTTCTGTCATCTTTATTGTGACTCTGGTCATCATAGAAAAGGAAAACAACATTATCTCAAAGTAGGTGCTTCTCTCAATATCCTCTATTCTTCTGTATGTGTGAATGACAGTGAAAGAGCACTTTAAAATCAGTCTGGTGTTAATCAATTTTCAATTTCTATTGTTGGAGAGATTGTTTCTTTGAGAAGAGACGAAACATTAAAATCCCTGTAAAGGCAATTCTACAAAAAAGTTCTAAACACATTATAAATGTTGCATATGTATTGCTAAAACATTACAAAGACTGTGAACTGTGAAGTACTGAAATGTGGAGTTAGACCGTTGAACAGTTTTTCACCATTGCTATTTTACGGATTGTTTGGGCGGGGCTAAAACAGGGCTCGATGACGCACTGGAGCCCATGAGCTCCTGGACACGCCCCTATTTGATGACGCACAGAGTCTGACACTCCCCGAGCACATTCGCATTTACCGCTCAATCGCGAGTGACTGTCAGTATATTAGTTACTACAGCTGAGCCTACAGTTTTCTAGCTAGCTATGCCTTCAACACAGAAATACATTGACTACTACCTGAATGCGATCATGTACTAAACAGATCGTTATCTTTATTTAAATTCGCTAAAAACGATCATATCAAGAAGAGGTTTTTAGAGCACCAACCTTGATGAAGAGCTGAGGATCACCGCCAACACCCGCCTCTGTAGTGATCATTTTACACGGGATAGTTTTACAAACTTTCCTCAGAGACAACTTGGATTCACTGATAATCCGCTGTTACTGGTGAACGGGGCCGAAACGACGATCTCCCGTCTCCAAAAGCTAATCAGCTAATATCACCGTTGACAGCTTTCCCGTGAGTGGGCGTGGTTTCCACGCAGCCAGCGGACACGCCCCCAGCGTTTGAGAACAGAGATAACTGCTCATTTTATGTACTTGCCGGTTTTTTTATCATTCAAATCTGGCTGGATGGCTAATAACACATTTTTCTGTGGTGTCACAAACTCAGAACACATACTTAATTTTGACTTTACAGGGACTTTAAAGGGATATTTCACCCCAAAATGATCATTCTGTCTCATCACGTGGTTCCAAACCCATTTGACTTTCAATCTTCTGTGCAAAACATGATATTTTCAGGCTGTTGGGAACCAAACAAACAGGTTATCATATGCACAAAACCATCCCCAAATATCTTTGCAGAAGAGAGAAAGTCATATATGCAGAGAAGGACCAGAGGCAGAGTAAATGATGACAGAATGATCATTTTTAGGTGACCTGATCCTTTAGCACTAATAGCAACTATCCTGGTTTCTTCTGTCTCTTTCAGAGTGTCTGATAAACTGAGCACACAGCTAACCCCGATTCTGTTCGGCCCGTCTCTGTCCGCGCCACACAACGCCTCGGCAGACCAGCACGAGGACCGTCTTCTGGAGAACTCGACCTGGTCCACCCAACAGAGCTCGTCTCCAGCGTCTGCATCGGGAGGACAGAAACACATTCTCCTGCTGGCCACCACTCGCACGGGCTCCTCTTTCGTTGGGGAGTTCTTCAACCAGCACGGATCAAACATGTTTTACCTGTTCGAGCCGCTGTGGCACGTGGAGCGCATGCTATCGGTCGAGTCTGGCGGGACGAACGCCTCAGTCGCTGGGCCGGCGTACCGGGACGTTCTGCATCAGCTGTTCCTCTGTGAGTTCTCGCTGCTGGAGAGCTTCATCGAGCCGGCGCCGCAGGATCATGTGACGGCTTCGCTCTTCCGCCGCGAGTCCAGCCAGTCGCTGTGTGAGGATCCGGTCTGCACGCCATTCGTGAGGAAAGGGTTCGAGCGCTACCACTGTCGTGTGCGGCGCTGCGGGCCGCTAAACCTTACGCTGGCCGCTCAGTCCTGCAAGCAGAAGGAGCATCACGCCATTAAATCCGTCCGCGTGCGACAGCTAGAGACGCTACGTCCGCTAGCCGAGGATCCCAGACTCGACATGAAGTTCATCCAGCTGGTCAGGGACCCTCGCGCCGTCCTCGCCTCTCGAATGGTTGCCTTCTCCAGCAAGTACAAGATCTGGAAGAGGTGGGCCGTGGGCGAAGATCTTCCAGTGGATGAGGACGAAGTGAGAAAACTCAAAGGAAACTGCGACAACATCCGTATGTCTGCTGAGATTGGACTCAAACAGCCACCATGGCTTCGCGGACGCTACATGCTAGTGCGCTACGAGGATATTGCACGATTCCCAATGCACAAAGCTACAGAGATGTACAGCTTTATAGGCATTCCCTTCAGCGCAACGGTGGAAGAGTGGATCCAACACAATACTCAGGCATCTAAGGAGGTCAGTGGGGTTTATTCCACACAGAAAAACTCCTCTGAACAGGTGGAGAAATGGAGGTTCAACATTCCCTTCAAACTGGTTCAGCTGGTGCAGCAAGTGTGCGGCCCCACCATGACTCTGTTTGGCTACAAGTTTGCGGAAAACAAAGACATGCTGATGAATAAATCAGTTAGCCTGATCGAAGAGAGAACATTCTTATGATGCGACTCAGACTTCATGAAGAAGATTGCTGAGATATTAGAGGATGAGGGTTTGACATTAACACCCACCAACTTCAGCAGTCACTTAAACTAGACTATTTGGCCGTTTGGAAATTATATGTAATAAATAGATTTTTGTCAAAAATATAGATTTCTCAATACATATCGATGCTGAAATATCTGCAGCTCCTTCAATACACACGAGACCAGCTGCACTTTATGTCTCTCTCGTCTCTCCGACAGCGAGTTACACACAAACCCGCCTCTCTTCACTCACTCATTTCATTTGCTCCAGATGAATATTGTTGTCGTCACAGGGCTTGAATTTTAGCATGGGATTGTGAATATTGGTGTCTTAAAGCACCTGACATAAAGTCCACTGCAATTGACGGAAATTTCCGGCTTTCTGTGTTTTCTCAGTTGTATGATGGGGTATGAACTTTTGAAAGAGTACTGAATCTCTGGATCAAAGCACAGGTGAAGAAGAAGCAGAAACAAGCGATAGCATATCTAAGCAGATGCATTTGTGAAATAACGCGACCATCAACATTAAACAACATATACATCAAAACTTCCTAATGTTACTGAATGAAATGTAGACTCAGGACGAGATACAGGACTGTGAAGGTGTTGATGGACTTGATCCACTCCATCTGTGTTTGATCCTCGCTCTGAATCTGATCTGGATGGATTCTTTGACAAAAATGTGTTTTTTTTTTACAGCTTATTCTCAAAATGTAGTTTATTACACTTACCCACATTCAAGTGTTGATAAAAAGGGAATGCATGAAGCTAGAATAAAATGTTAATTTTTCTAAATGTTCTGGGGGCAATGAAACTTGTGTGAAAATGGTAAAAAACGCTGCCGATGGCGGGCAACTTTTTTACAAAATGTTGCCAGGGAAAGAGCTTATATATACCTTTTGCCAAATTATGAGTTAATATTAAAACATATATGTATGGCAGTTTCCCCCATATTATCCAAGTCAAAATAGTGGCCAGTGAAAATTCCTAGTGGCTATTAACTTTGGAAAACCACTAGCCATAGTGGCTGGTGAGCAGAAAAGTTAATCTGTTGAGGATCTTTGTGACGTTATTGAAACGTTATGCTAAAAATGTATTACATATCTTCCTTAAGCAGTACTGAACAATTAATATTTTTGACTGATTGCTAAGTAAGTCAAAAGTGATGTACACATGTTAATTTTTTTGTTAAAAATGTAAAGTTAGAAATGATAATTGAGTTGAAGTGAGGGATTGCCTTGAGACACATAGCAAGTGTTTTCAACTGTATATATTGTATGTGTGTTTGTTTTGAGGGAAATGAGCTAACAGATGTTTCTGGGCTGGTTTTGTATCTTCAGATAATCTTTCCTTCTACCCACTGCTGAGATCTCAAAGACACAAGGATTTAAATGAGTCATTTCCTAATTATATTTATACTCTCTCAGGCCAGTTTGTTATTATAGTCTTACAACATATAGTCTCTTATAACATATAGTCTCTTGTAATACAACTTTAAAATTGCCCTTAGGGGATTAATAAAATTCTTATACTGTATAAAAATCTAACCTTATCTTAAATTCTTGATGTGTTTTCTGTCGTGAAGATTTTATCTGACGAATAATAAACGGGTGCTGTAGTGGTACTATACGTGAGTGGATATCTGAAAGTCTTAACATAAGGGACGGGTGAACTAAGATCTCTCGCAGTGCTGTTGCAAAAGAGCACTTGAACCCAGCAATGCCAGAACTGTTTTCTCCACAGAGTTTTTAAGTTGCATCTAAATCTGTAAGTACTAATTAGTGTCTAGAGTCCAGGAATACACATAACCCTCAGGGATGGCCCTGGAACACTTAGTAGTAAGCACTGCCTAACTCTCTTTTTCATTGTATCTGCTCTAGGTCTGCCAAACTCCTGTGCCGTCCCGTCATCTGCTAGCACTTAGCATCGGGCCTCGAGGAGGAAGAACCTGCTTCTGTAGCGGCTAATCAGCTGTTTATTACTGTGCGTCTGCTATTTAGAGCGCCAGTGAAACTCTAACATGCTCATTTACGCAGAACCCCTCCTGTATGCGGTACAGACGATGTTCCCGAACTGACCTCACCCTCCCACCCACACGCAGCTGGGCAGATTTCAGAGCGATGGCCCCACGCCTCCATTCACTCGCATCAAGTTGAACATCTAAGCTCAGTGTGTGGAGATGCAAGCTTAGGTACAACACACACAATCTCTTTTGCTTTTCATCGATAGCTTATAATGTGACAGAAAGGAATTTCTAGCTGAAGGACAGGTTCAGCTCTGTGAGGTCTCAGGGCCCGGCGTGGTTCATGTGGGCTGTGTGCAAAGGGTGGAGCATGTGTGTATGGTCAGAGCAGATCTAGAATAGCACAACCGCTCTCCACAGTCTCCGAGGAACCGTTTTTCCTTGCAAGTAAAAACAGGCCACCACCACATCAGATAAGAAGAGAGCTGTAATATAAACCCCTTTGACTGAAAAACTCATACATTATTCCACATTACTGAATCTACTTATACCAACAAAACTAGTGTTTATTGGTTAAATAAGGTGGAAATATCAAACTTTTGCATGTTACCAGTTTTTACGATATTGCGCCATTCAGGCGAATCAGTTTTTGATTCCAAATGCTTCCTCCATTTAAGTGTAACATCACATTTTTTTATGATTAATCCGATTGTAACCCTAATAATTAAAATTTGATCAGCTCCTGTTTTTAACATTGATAATTTTACATTTAATCATTCAGCTAATTATTTTATCCTAAATGAATTACAAATGAGGAAGATAGCATAGGAAGAAAAGTCACACTGTTCTTTGTACACAATGTCAAGCTAGAAGTAAAATCAAGATTACTAGAGAGGTGAACCTCAGACATGAAGAGGGAGACTGAGGTTAGTGGTTGGTGGGGAATTTTAACAAAAAGTGAAGGCAACTATTCTGTCACACACTCGAGTCCTTGTGAGACCATAGACATAACTGACTCGCTTACAACAAAGGGGAATAATTCATGAAAGACCGTATTTGTCAGACAATTAATAACCAATATGCTCTGTGTCTTAAAGGTGCACTGTGTAAAACATTGGAGTATCTATTAACAGAAATGCCCCTTTGGACTCATGCGGACGCGTCGAGTTTAGCTCAGACACAGTAACAGCAATTATCCAGCTAAAAAATATATATAGTTGCATAGTTTCATGTGGTTCTTCTCCCTCGCTGTATTATGGGTTTGCTCTGTGGGGAAAAATGTGCTGGTTGTGTTTGTGAGACAATCAGCTGATTACTGTAATTATATTATATATTAAGACCCTTGATCCTCACCTGACTATGGCTTTGTAAACTTTAACCATGATGTGGTTTATAAGACTGTGGTTCAGAAACAGTGACAATGTTACACACTCTTGGCTTACTCTGGCTATTCTCTGAACCGGTGGATGCCACTAAAAATACACACTGCACCTTTAAAGCATAATAGAAGCGAACAGATCCATCCGTGAAGCTGTAAGAGCTACAGTGAGTTTCACTCATTCCCACATTGGTCCCCCGTCTGCTGTACAGTGAGTGACGTCAAACCGCAGGACCGGCCCGCGTCTGAGAATGAGCGTCTCTCTCCCGAGAGAGAAAATAGCCACACGTACCTGAGCTTGACTGAGTATATAAACAATACTATTGATTCACCTGATTTTAGAGGAGTTTCCCTCAGGTTAAAACATCCCCTTCGTGAAGTTTTAACCAAAGGAATGAAAAGCTGTAAAGCAGCAAAAAAGAAATGACAGGAATCAGACTTGAAAACCACAAATGTTTTTTTTTGTTCAGACACCTCAAGGGATTTTTTAGCTGCCTCCTTTTCTCTGTCTGTCTTTTGGCCCAGAATAGATTTTTCTGCAAACATTTCACATTCCTCTGTGTTTGTGTGGGTGTGTGTGTGTGTGTGTGTGTGTGTGTGTGTGTGGCAAATGCCATGCCACTGGTTGGTGTTAGTGGCTACTCCTTGCCCAAAGTTATCAGTTACTGTAATTCTCAGTTTAGAATATTTTTTAAAGCACAGGAAAAACACAACCTCTCCCTGCAAAGTGTTGAATCTGCTGTTTGTTTGTTCCATAAGTGTATTGTACTATGTTTGAGCTCCTGAAGAGTTTTGCAGGGTCAGCATCATAACTTTCTTATCAAACTTTCTAAATTACTCCATGTGGTGAGCTATTGGAAAACTGCTGTTTTTGTACTGAACCAACACACACATTATTCACTCCCTTATTGCTACTCCAACAAAGTTTGTGTAAAGAGACATTTCTTTCTAGCCTGGATGGCAGCTCGAACTCCGCCCACAACATTTTTCGGTCAGGAAGTTCAGTCTGGACTCGATCCATTGAGGAGTAATTATGATCAGTCAAAAAATGATCGTACCAATCAAATTGCCAGGGCGGGCTTTATACGATGATGGACAGGTGATCTGCAGGGACGTAATCATCACGTTATCAAAGAGCGCTGAACTGTTTTCGCTCAGAGACGACTGCAGCTGGAGAATTGAGATGTATAGATTCTGCTGTCGCGTCTTTTGTGAAATAAATCGACAGCGCATTCATTTTAATAGACGAACCAAAAAAAATTATACAGGGTCGTCTACAAAGTCGATGTATCAGAATGGGAATGCGTTTTATGTATCGCTCTTTATCAAACTGCTAATAATGTGTTGCAGACAGCTGCCTTCTAACAATCTGTATTTTTAGAAACACTTTGAACAACTGAGAACGTCAGTGGAGAAAGGCATATAGTTCATCATAACATCGTAATATAAATCATGTTCATAATTCTCCCGCTATATTGCTAAATGTACCCGAGCTGTCATATCAACAGAAACACACACTTGGATAATAACCCGCTTCTCTCGAGACTCCCCTGCTTCAGAGAATAGATAATGATATGGTAAAGCTCCGCCCCCCTCGCGACGGGATTGGCTACAACATGCTTGTGACGTCCATACAGGGACAATTTCAATGGTGCTTTTGTTAAACTGCAGTTTTAAGGAGAAAAAATATTAACAATGGTGTTGACTGATGAAATTGATCATGATTTGTCTTAAAGCATATTTTAAACACCACATAAACATATAAACAACATTAAAAATGTGATTTTCATTAGAGAGAAATCATTGTCATCTGATGTCATGCATCACATGATTCCCACAAGGCTCTGAATATTTTGTTGCTGTTTTCTTCAGTGTCTTCATGCAAACTGAAGACCTCACGGAGAAGGGACTAAAGTTATTAAACTGGATATATCAGTGTCTCATTAAACCCTCTCATTTAGTAATTTAGTACTTAAACTCAAGAGCAGACACGGCTGTATCAGATGTACTAGACACTACAGACGTAGTGAACTTCATCCTTCTGGTTTACTCTTTCACTTCCGTTCTCACACAAGTTTCATTACACAACACATGAACACAACAAGGGTCATCTGTAGGCTAATGAGAATGTGCAAGTCTTCCAGAGTCGGCCTTTTATTTTCAGCTGTACAAAACTGCTCGTTATGCTGCTTGATATTATCTCACTCCAACCCTAAATCATGAAATATAATGGTTTTACCTGATCTTGTCAGTTTTATAATTTAGGTTCATTTTTAATGAATTAATAAAAAAATGAGAATATTTCACTCATCTGATTGACCTAGTTTTCTAACCAGTGCCTAATAACACACAAAACAAGCATTTAATTAAGGAACACCATTATTTAATATTTAATGGTATTTAATAATTTGCTATTCGTTTTCATTGGATAAACCATTTTGACAAGCAGGCCATCTTGTGGCCGTTCTGAGAACTTTGCAACTGTGAATTATTTTGTGAAGCATTTGGTTCAATTGATTCAGAGTTTAAAAAAGCTTTGTTTCTTCCATAACTATGTTATATATTAATATTGATTAGGACCTGCTGGATCCAGTTAAAAACCCAGATCAACTTCTGAAATGAAAGGTTATATCTGTGCAGTTGTGCATCATGGGTAGGGTGGGAGAGACCAAGTGTGGAGGATTAAGGGGATCATTTGTTGTTTTAAAAATGAAATTACATGATTGTTAAATACATATTTTATTAATTATAATATATATATAAAAATAATTTCTGTTGATTAGGGGAAACACAAATATCGAATAAAACTGAGGTTAATTTTTTTTTTTGGTGAAGTTCATTTGGGGTTACCTGCTTGAGTATTAGTCTAATGGTTATGCCCATGGGTGTACATGTTTGGCTGCACTTTGCCAGTAGTTGAAAGTGGTTTCTGGATGAGACTGACTGAAAGCAGATTGATTTGTATTTGTTAAAGTTAATCAAAAGGTATTTATTTACACCCTTTCTTCATTTTTCTTTAGAAAATTTGCCCTGTTTTTTTTATATTTGAAACTATTTTTTCCAACTATTCTGAAACCTCTAACTAATGCAATGTATTTTGGGGAGCCTAACCCTAAGAGCTGGGCCATGGGTTAATGTGAACCGACCCATGGTGGAGGGTATCGCTGGAGGCAGCTCGTCCTTAGACCAAAAGCCAGGGACTCGTA